TTCATAGCGACAGCTTCATTATGATTATTTTAGAGTTTATACATAGGAAGACCAAGACACCCAATTAACTTAGATCAGACTGTTAATGTGGCAAGTTCCATTGCACTATTCTGAACAGAAGATAGCAGATCTTCTGTAACAATGCTGTTTTCCTCTTGAAGGACCCAAATCCAGATGAGAAACTCAGTGGAGTGTCTTGCAAAAAACAGTGCAGGATAATTGGACCGCTTATCCTAAGAGGTCCCAACAAGTTAATCCTACAAAAACCCAAGCAGCTGAAAGCTCCTTCCTCCCCACATAGTAACATCCAGTCATCCTCGCTTTCAGCAGAGGACTGCTGGGCACTCAACTCAAAGTTGCAATTTCCAGACCCCTTTCTTCAGCAGCACCACCAATGCCAGACTTCAGAAAAGAACTCCTCCAAGTAACAAGGAAAATCCACCTCTATTGCCATGAAGTCCCACAGCAGAGGCTCCCACCTCTTCCTATAGCACATCCTCCTAATCTGTTTTCTCAACAATAAGGAAAACATTGACTGAATAAGTAGTGATATACAATGAAAGCTGACCATATACCATAGCACGAGGTCGTTAGTCCCACTCTTCTACTCTTTCTAACACTACAGGAATGGAGGGACGTACACATTTTTATCCACTTGCTTTTACACAGATGCTCCTCAGGTGGTGGTGGGGGTGAGTGGGTAAAAAAACCCAACGAAAACCAGCATTGAAAGCAAGAGCCACTGGTAGATTTGAAAATTTAACCTCAAACAGCTGAATACTTCCGGATATTCAATCAAAACACCCTGAGCTACATAATATTTTTAAAGCACCCTTTTAAATAAATTATTGAAGTTCCAGTCAAAAGCACTTAAGGACGCCTCTCCATTTAAAATAGGAGTCACAGGAGAATGGCAGAGTGAGAGAGCATGCAGTTAAGTGACGCTACACAGTGGAAGGCAAGAAGAACCAGGTTATGGACTACATGTGGCTCCCTCCTTGCATGCCTGTACACCATGCAGTGTTACTACAGCGCATGTTACGAGGACTTGGAATCCAGAGGCGAGTTCCCATCAGTTCGAAATTAAAATGACCAGCACCATTAGAAAACTGAAGTTGGCCTGGGCCCCACGGAGGATCAAGGCAGAGGATTCCCCCGTGACTGGCTAAGGATGGACAGGCAGTGAGAAGAACCGGAAGGACAGGAGAAGCCAGAATCTCTTTGGCTGGAGGAGCAGAATGGGGAGGAAGCTGCATTTATGGAGCACAGTTTGTGAAGCAGCCGCTGGAGGAATTGGCTTTGGGGAAGTTGGATATTTGCACTGCTGACGTAAGATTCAGGAGGGAGGGAGAATGGTGGCAGCAGGAGTAGCTTCCATGGCTAGCACCAGCAGTGGAAATGCTCCAAGCAGCTAGCACAGTGGGAAGCAAGGATGGGAAAAAGATACATATATATAATGGAAGAAAAGATCTTCACTGCTTATCTAATTAAAAAAAAAAAAAATGAAACAGAGGAAAGGAAAATAAACAAAGGAGAGAGAAGCACCAGTCGCAAAGAGTTCACAAGGCTTTTTTTCCTCCTTCCCCCAGCGTCACTGCTCTGGCTCTGACCTTCGGGGCCGGTATCTCCGATGGCCCGTTGATTTCCGCGTGGCCACTGCTGCGGTGAAGCCCACCAAGCAGCACAAGGATGTGGTGCCAAATTTGGCTGTGTCTAGCCAGTTGGGTGTTTCTGTCTTCAGGTACCTCTCAGCTAAGTGCAGACTCATCACTACGAACCACAAGACTGAAGCAAATGCATCAATTCTCCGGAGCCTGCAATGCCAAAAAGAAACCAAACAAGACACAAGGTAAGAGTTTAAACACCAGTGAACCCCCTTGGTCCTGAGGACGGAGAGGGAGGGTACACAGACCGAGCAGGTTATGTACTATCTCTTACTACAGTTATATCACCTGCAGCCCTTCCCGTTGCTGTGGTAAGTACCCACATAGATCAGTTCCATTTTCTACCAGACTACAGGAGCTGCAAAGGGAGCTTTTCATTCACAGTAATTCAAGCTTAAATTGAATTAACCAAGGCAGAGATCCAAAGTAAGCTCTGCTGTCTCCATCCAGTCAGCTGGCAACCCAAAGAATAACAAAGAGAACTGTGCCACCTAGTACTACATGTGCCCCTGGCTCACTGAGTCAAGACAGGTCAAAAGACCTCCAAAATAATGCAGTCTTCATTTAAGTGGAACAGAAGAAAAGAGCACACCCACCTGATCCGCCCAGCTAAGAACATGGCCAACAGGCAGGTGAACAGTCCAAGGACAGCGACTGCCATCTGGTGATTCTTCCCGTAAGCCCATGCGGCACTCAGGTTCTCCACCATCTGTTCTGGGAGCAGGCGGAGCAGCTCCTGCCAGCCTGCCACCGTCACGGAAGCGTCATTTTCCAAGTCTGCACGTGAACTTGTGCCAGTCCTGTTCTGAATGGATGCTGGACCAGAGGAGACAGGAGCAGGGACTACTGCACTGAGTGAGAAGGGGTCGCCTGACCCATACAAGGCCATCAGAACCAGGAACGCGCAGCTGAGGAAGGCCAAGAACCGCAGAAATATCACCTGAGCTGGTGTGGTTATGGAAGCAGAAGAGGAAGAAGAACATGAATTCTGCAGAGGAAGGGAGAAACACCTTGTCAGAAGCTGAATGAACTGTAGTAAGGTTTTGAAATGATGCTTGACGAAACACTTCCAGACTATATGGTTTGCCGAACAGTTTTGCTCAAGTCCTTATAAGTCTCTGTACTGGGTGGGCACCACATGGGATGTTGTAGACTAGCAAAGAGCAACAGCAGAGCTATGAGCAGAAGACAAGGTCAGGCAGGGCAGTGAGGCAACGAGAAGGTCATAATTCTTTTCCCATCCTTCTTGCTTCTCCCCGCCCCCTGCCTCATCCTCTGTAGTTTCCTGCACTGTACTCATAAATTGGCTTCCCTCCCTCCCCTTTTCCACATGTCCACTTTCTGGACACTATTTTCCTTCCACTCTGTTCTTATTATTACATTAGACCTACTTTCCAGCAATCACACTGAATGACAACAGCAAGACGAAAACCTCAAACTAACATCAGGATTATCTGCGGCAACTTATCCTGTGCTCCTCTAAACTTCTGCTATGCACCCAAGTTCGCAGTTAAGAGCGCCCGAAGGCCGCTGCCTGCCTTTCCCAGCAGCAAGGTGCAGAGGTACCTAGTTCTCTGCACTTCCCCCTAAATTCCCTCATGTCTCCCCCCATGTACCTGAGCATAGGTCTTGTCTGTCTCACGGCGTTTGAAATGGTGGCTGAGTAGCAGCGCCCGGAGCTGCCGATTCTGATGTTTTATGTAATATTCCACAGCAGCCTGGCATGGACGGCACAGCTTGTAGGTCTGCTCCAGATGGTGCTTATACACCTCAATCTCCTCATCATATTTTCCCTGGTGAGAAAATAGGAGAAGAAAAATAGGCAAGAACTGGAAGGCTGTCATTGTTTGAAGGCCCCGGTGAGATGAGCTCCATAAATCATTAACGGCACTTGTAAAAACAGACAGTGAGTAGGGCCAAATCTACGTTTTTCAGCGTCACTACAGTGGATACATCACTTATCACAGAGGCTTCTAGGGTTCTTCCATCTCCACTCCCAGCCTCTATTAACATCCTTGTACCAAAAGCATAGAGCTGAAAACATGCAGCTCCTTTGGGAAAGGGAAGTAGAAAAATGCAATGTGGCTGTCTGAGGGCTTGCTGCAGCAGTTTCACAGGCTCCATCTGCCAGAATCGAGAACGAATCACATGAAAGAGACTAGTAGCAGCAGGCTCACCCCCTTACTGGACAGGCCAGTAATGCTGAGAGAGGCCACTGCTGTCACTGAGACACATATCTAACCACGTTGGATAACACAGTCCCATGTTTCTTAGTTGGCACAAACACTGCAGTTCACTGAATGCCTAAAAAGGGGCCAAAGGCTGGTGTTACTTGAGCAAGCGGATATGCCTGGCAAGAAGCAGGGACTTGAAATAAAGCTGAGAAATGGGAATCAGCTGAAGATGTTCTCACTAAACATTATCAAATTTAAATCTGTTCCCTGGGAGTGATCCTGATTAAACACTTCATACTTACACAAAGCAGACTGAATTAGGCAACCCAGAGGATAAACACATCCCACTATAGCGCAGTCTTATAACCTCAAGGCTTGACCATGGCTGAAAGCTAAGGACTGCAGCACTCAATTCTCTGCGTGAAACTTTGGGGAGCCATAAAACTGTGGAGGAGAAACCACACTACCCTATCCTCCATACACATTAAGTAATGGGAAGGCCAAGAAGTTGCTCAGCAGGAAATCCCTTTGCCCTCCTAGGCACAAATGCCTAACCAGGGACATGATCTGGCTGCACAGGATTCCTCTCCCACTCCACTAGTAAAAGCAGAGCAGCACAGCCAAGGCCTCAGGAAAACCAAAATCTATTAAGGCTTCAAGGTGACTAGTGGACTGTTGTGCCTGCCAGATCCTGTAAGCTCAGCTGGGTCAATGGTAAGTACTGGAGTTGTAAGCTGATCTCAGCAATGTGCATGTTTGTTTCTGGGCTCAAGCTTCAACTTCCAGTGTCCATCTAGAACATATCATTACATTATGGCTTTGGAATAGGATTAGGTAAATTTGCAACACTAATCAGTAACGTTCTCTGCACCGAGTGCCACATAGTGCTTCTGAAGACTACTGGAGCACCATTCCATAGCACACCGAAAAATTCCTCTCCCCCCCTGCTTACTAGGCTGCAGCATGGTACCATTTGCAAAGCCAAACCAAATAAATTATTACAGAGCAAATTAATCAGAGCAGGAATAGCAGATACATGCATGGGAATGCCTTGGACAAACATTCTCCTGTCATGCCAGTCCCTAACAAACACTTACCTCCTCCCTTGGTGAGAATGAAGCCAGCTGTTTGATCTTCGTGGTTTGATGGTTGTTGCATTTCTTGCAAAGCAGAATTTGGCTGCTCACCCACTGTTGCGGTTTGGTAGGATCACAGAAAGTCGTAGCACCTGACACAACATGGTTAAGGTGTTCCATGTACTGAGCAGGGATGGGCTTGTTGTAGTCTCCATTCTGACAGAAGCAAAAAGGGAGGCGGGAGGGAAAGCATACATGAGATCATAATATCAAAGTTAGGCATCCTCTGGTTGATAACAAGATTCCCTAAGCTCTGTCAGGTGCTCTGTACTCCATGCATTCACCTATGTAACAAAAGAAATAAGTGAAAAAGAGACACAAAATCCTTCAAATCTTCTCCCCCATCCACTGTTCTGTATGCCTACTGCAAGCAGTTGGTGGCGGTGGTGGATTTTGGCTTAAGATGGGCTTTGTTATTTAATACCGTAAATAAAACAATTCAGCTGTTCCAAAATAGAAAACCAGAAAATAATTGTTCCACCTATTAAAAAAAGATTCTTAAGAGATATTGGTGAAAATGTCAAGGCCCTTTTTGCCCTGGGATGCAAGAGAGGAAAATTTGTCTTTATCTTTCTGTGTCGGCACATCCCAATACTTTCTTTCTCAAATTTGATCAAGTTATCAGCTGCTGAGTTCACAGGTGCTCAGCACAGAGCTGCCAGCCATCATTTGCCCTGGGCCTGTATCATCTTAAACGAGGAGCAGGGTTTTCCCACAAGGACTGCTCCACAGGGCACGCGCCTCCCCAGCCACCCTTCAAGCAATCTGTCACCATACCTCTTGGAACCCATTGTACTGCTCACAGTTGGGGCAGTCCCAGCAGTTGCGGTTCCCATATGGCACTATTGTGTCCTGATTGCAGAACCAGCAGTTCACTGTCACATGTGTAGGCTTCTTCCTGTTAGAAAAGGAAATGTGTTAGGCATCAACACTGAGTTCAGATGATGTAGAGGAACGCAATGGCTTTCAAACAGGGAAATGCAAGAAAGGCTGGAATAACAATCAGTCTTCCCATTTAGTATGTTTAAAGGTATGACTCAGAGTAGTCATTTTAGCAATGAAAAGATGGACTAAAAGTGCAAAGTAGAAATAAATTTCTGCCTGATGCTCATATTTCTTTGTGCTAGTACCATGGACATGCCAGAACTTTAATAACAACCTTGTGAATAACCCACTTCACTGTTTTTCAGAGGCATATTTGGGGGTGCAAGTCCTCTCCATAATCGGCAGTATTATGCAGAGGATGCAGTAGAGTCACTGCTTAACACCCAGGATTCTGGGAAACAGAAGTTACAATCCACAAGAATTGTATATAACGGTACTCAGGAACCTAGGAAATGGGCTCATCGTTACAGTTTTGTCCACCCTGCTTGATACAAAAATTTTCAAGGACAAGGGCATATCAAATTATCCCAAGGTTCAGGTACTGCAAATAGCTGTTTCTTCACAGCTTTAGATACGTAAGAAGAAACTGAGGAACCAACATGTCTTCCCCAGTTTTTGTGCCCTGGAACTGAAGAGACAAAGACTAATAGCCTGGGATCCATGAGCCCCTTGTTTTTTTTAAAACAATCCTGTTAAAACAACAGTCACTTCGAGAAAAACAGCTGTGGCGTGGTCCCATTGCAACAGGTTGTGACAGATGTTTGAGCAAAGAACTTCAGTGGCCCTTGAGCCTGCCTGCTAAAGAAGGTCTGCATTTGTCTCGACCCTCAGTGCAATACCCGAAAGGAAGCTTGCTGGCAGGTCAAGGCAACACAGTCCAGCTGTCTGGGTTTATCCGAACCAGTCCCAATCACACCTCCAAGGGAGGGCAGCTGTTCAGGCAAAGCCCAGGCAGGGACTCACTATGGCAGCTATGCAGACAGACGGATCCAGCTGCCACCAGCCCTGTTTGCTGCCTAACTCCACCAAGTGATCGGCGTGCCTCCCGCTAGGCAGCTCCTAAAACGGCAGCGAAAGCAACTGAGCAGAGAGGGTCACTGAGGGCCTGGAAAGCAAGTAACAGTAGCTAAAGTGCTCACCAGTTGAGAGCACCTCTCTTCTTCCTGCTCTAGGAAATGTTCTCTCCTGCTACAGTATTTTGGAGCAAAACACCTTCTGAATGCCGCAGAAATGTTGCAGGGCATCCTGCAACCAAACAGGCAGGTGGTTCTCCCCTTAGTTAAGCCGGCTTCTCTCTCAGTCATCACTGTTGCAGCTGGATGCCTACAATTAAGATTCTTCCCCACTCCCATTTCCATAGACCATGTCTTGAAATTGGGTCCATAAAATATCAAACCCTCAAGTGATGCTTGGGCCTCCTGTTTTAAGTACTAATGATGAGGATAATCTTGAAATTAAGCACCAGAAGGAAGCCTAAAAAAGAGTGCACAGAGGACTCCCTGCCAGATGCTGAAAGAAAATGGCTGGAGCTACTAGGGTGACAGATTCTCATCTCAAAATAGATGCATACACCCACACCCCTCTTAAAACGAGTATTCACCGCTCAACTTTGTTCATTGCCAAGGGAGCTCAAAACAGTAAGTGATCCGAGTCAAAAATACCACCACTGAAATGGGCAGGCAAAAAAAAAGAGTTTAAACCAGATGGAAATCAAGGTTTCTAGTCCAAGTTATCCAAGAGCTACCACTGCCCAAAAGCCAAGCAAACCACACATCAAAACAGCCATATGAAGGATGGACAGCAACATTTGTGGGTGGTAGTTTAACCTCATTACCATAGTAATGTAAAAGCTATGAAAATATTATGCATAGGCTTCAGCACGTTAACCATCAAAACACAAATCCTGCTGCACCTTGAGCATAGACTTTGACAGTAAGCACAACTTAAACTCCATCCTCTGATGTCGGTTATCGCACAGGTCCTGGTACTGCAGAGAGCGCTGTGATCCCACCATTATGCTGCTGTGGCACCATCCTCTGGCAACCATGGAAATAAGATGCACCACGCTTCACCTTCTACCTACCACAAGTCTCTAACTTCCATGACATGACAGAGTAGGTAGAAGCACAAATTTCAAGGATGACACAGAAGTGGAAAGCACAGGCCAAAAAACTAGTAAAGCATGCATGTTATAAAGCAAAAAAAGAACCAATGACAAACCCTGTTTGAGAACTTGCTAATATCAGAGACCAAACCCTTAGTATACTCAAGACCCTTTCGTCTCTTCCAAACAGGATTCCATTTCTCACTCTTAAGGCTGAGGAAGTGCTATCAAGGGTTAAATAGCAGCCCTTCATTCTCACAATGTATGCAAGAGAAATTGCAAAGTCCTGGATTATTTAGGAAAAAAAGCAGTAATCCTTCCTTTTGTGAAGCTGTAATCTGTTGCCATAGAAATAGGTGCAAAAAATCAGAAGTTCCCAACCTGCTGGATGAAAAAGAAGGGAGGGGGGTGGAAGGTCATTTGAGGCAAGAACATGTAGGCAGCGTGCTGATTTTCTAGTAACTGGGCAGGCCTTTAAAAACAACAAACAGGTACTGCATTTGGAAAGACTCTCAAATTCAGATTTAATTACTTTGGAACTACATATACCCTGACTGAACTCAGGCAGCAGCTGAACATAGTAAGTCAGAACACACATTGCTTCTGAAGTCAGACATTCTGTTATGAGAAGATAGACAATGCAAAACCCATATAACCATTTACCATGTGCTCAGTCCCTTGCAAAACACTAGGCAAATCATCTCTAAGGAGTTTATAATCTAACACTGTATTAACTTGAATTAGCCTCACTGGATGAAGAACCACCCTGAAAAACAAAATCTGCGCAGCAAATTGAACCAGCAGTGATTGAATTACTTACTGCATAGAGAGATTCCATTAACAGCTGACTTGTGCTAACTCAATATGCAGCCTGAACACCCAAACAAGCTAGAAAAAATTCCCAGGTTTGGACAAATCGTTTTGCAGGTAGAAGATCTTTGCTTAAGACAACACTGGGGGAAGCATACCTGGGTAAACTCCAGTTATGAGATCAACACCCAAACGTCTGATATGGCTCAGGCAATATGACAAAATGTTCTTTTGTGAGAGGCTATCAGACTCTTTTATTTTGCTAAGAAGCTTTCTATCCTGTACACATTGCTTTCAAAAATCAGACTGCAGGTATACCCATGGACAAACACTTCAGGAACTAGTTCATCTCTCTCATGTAATGTAAGAAGGAACTTGCGCTCCTTCCAAATCCCAATGCTCTCCACTATTCCCCATTTATACGTATGTTTAAGGTCATGCTTGAGTTCACACTTTTAATGGATTGCCAGAACAGTCTCCCAGACAAGTGCAGGTCAAATCAGTTACCTGATAACAATAAAACTGGCTTTCTATATGCATTTTATTTGCACCTATTCTCCCCCTCCTTTACTGCTAGCTCAGAAGATGAAGACATTTGGGTTTCCAGATTCTTAAGAGGCCACAGGTAGATGTGCAGTTCTTCACTGGGTTACCCTCATCCTCCACTAAGGATTAAAAGAAAAAACAATTCTCCATTAAAAGTATTTAACACAACACTCTTCATTCTGGCACAACTGGATTACCAAACAATTATACGAACGGCTATGCCAGCAAATCTGAAGAAAAAACACACTAAAAAGAGGAGCTCTTTTGAACAGATCAGTTTTGATCAGAACAACAGCTGATGGCAGTTTGACATAACCAAGCTGCCAAAGCTCCAAAGTATAGAAGAAGCCCATGGCACAGTATGGTCAGCATGGCTGAGTTAACAGGAGTTCACAGCTAGGGAAGGTCACTGAGCTGCCATAATTCCAAACTGTGCCCACATCCATCACCTGTCAATAAAGAGGTCTGCCAGTACAGACCCAATGCTAAACCCCATTTTCCAACGTGAGAAAAACACACTGCAGCAGGCAAACTGTATCATAGATGCATTTGCTCAGAACTAGCGGTTGTAGACAGGGTTGAGGATTTAGCCACAAGACCGGATTTCTAGTACAGTGTCATAGGTTATAATGCTATCCCTTCCCAAGGGCCAGATTTAGTGTCCTCTTAACAGGGAAAAAGTGGAAATAGGCAGGGACACAGACCCACAGCCTTAACAACCTCCTGTGCTGTCCCCCTCAAAGGCAGCCTTAGGGAGGTAGCAACACTGAATACTCTGGAGAATATCGGCCATCAGGACAGGATCCTCCAGAAAACGTGCCTCTTTTTGCCATCTCAGTATCTGTGACTGGCTTCTCAACTAAATGAACTAATTGCACAGCAGTTCTCGAGTTTCTACTGGCCTCTTTTAGAGTGAGTCGTGGCTTATCTTGACTTAACTTATAGAAGGAGTGGCCTCTGCCATCACTGACCCCAAAGAATCCCAAGAAAGAGATCCTCATGGGGTACTCTATACTGGTGCTGACAAGTCAGTAGCTAACAATCAGGAGGGGCACAGAAGATGAAGGAAATGTGGCTACAACTGCTGGTCTGAACTCAGCAACCTGACTTCCAACAATCCATAACAAACAAGTAGCCAAGCTGTGATCTCAAAGAAAGACCACAAAAGTATCAGTTTTCCTGTCTGGCCCAAACTCATAAGATTTAAGGAGTTCCTATGTATATCTGGACATCAGATCTTTTTTCTCCTTGATAGAAAAAGCACAGTCTTAGATGCTAGCACAGTTATGGTAGTGTAATTTTACATATTAAGTTATCCCGGAACTACTTGCCACTAGGTTATTCTGATACATTTTATTTCCCTTTCTATAGGGAGTGGTAAAGGCATCTTGCTAGATGTATAAGTGCACTCACGCTGAAAATGGACCAAAGCAGGGCTGTATCACAACATTAACACCAAAGGCAAAGGCAGTATCATGTCTGTGTTTGGATCAATCCCTTATAAACCTGTCCTCCATGATGACTTTGGAAAATTCATTTAACAAAGTAAGTAA